ACTCTCAATAGCAGACCTACCATCAGCCTCTTCAATTCCCGCCGCATACGATTTATCATCTCTTTTTGATCCAATGATGCAACCCTCATGGTCCAATATGCAGCAGCAGCGGCAAATGGATACCCGTCAGTTTGGAGACAGCGGTGGATCATCAGGAACTAGTGGTGGTGATCTCCAAGCACTGGCGCGCGAACTCCTTCATAGACGAGGATCTCCACCGCCCGGGTTCATGTCATGTAGTGACACATTAGCATCACCATCTATCTCTAAATGAGACTGATCGACCTTATATTAACAAAGTCCTTGTATTAATCAAATACCAATCAGGAAGCTGGATTTCCATGTTATTTCACTGGCCATGCATGATTTAGTAGTTTGATAATTGATCACCGTTTCTTTCTGTTCGTTTCTGTTCTTTGTTCATTCGTTTTACCATTGAAATTCTTCAGATTGAGACGTACGAGTTAAAAATTAAAATTCTCATTCTAATTGCAGCTCCCGGTAGTATACCAAGTTATCTGAAACTACAAACACACACACACATATATCAATTCAATGCCATATAGTTTTTCAATTTTTGGTATGTCGTTGATAGTGATTGAAAACAAACTTTTAATGCCTTCGATGCGGTCTGGGCACTCAATTTTGATAAAAAAAACCGCACGGTCTCTCCTCCTTTGATAAGGAAGTTTCAAGCTACTATATTATATGGTTGTACCTTGAGTAGGATACTTGATGGAAGGATGTATAATTTCATTCTCAATAATTTATTTTTGATGGCTCTGTATGTTTAAATGGAGTGGTAGGATGTTGGCAAGAATTTATCCTATGAAAGTATCGGTCATATTTTGTAAATGGCCTTCCTGTGTTTATAGGTTTTTTATCTTTAACTTAGCGTGGTATGGTATTTGTAATTTTCTTAAATCACAACATAGTCACTCCTCTCCAATCCGATGTCGGGTTCAAGATGGGTGATGGGAGAAACATCAGGTTCTAGACCAATCCTTGGTTAGGCTTCGCAACCCTTCTCCAGTTCATGTTTTCTAGGCTTTACAACCTCTCTTTGTAGCAATCATTAAGCATTGTAAAAGTTTATAACCCAACTGATAACTCAATCAATCTTTCTTGGAGAAGAACTTTTCGATACCAAGAGCTCTGCATGCGTGAAAGCTTGATAGAGAAATGGAACATGATTTAGTCTTCTCTGATGGTGAAGACAACAAGATATGGAAATCCCATAACTGCAATGTTTATATATTCTCCTCAGGGTGTCATTTTTTTTATGGTTTTAATGTTTTTGAAAATCATCACTCCCCTTTCTTGTTTTGAAAAGGGTTTGCACCTTTGAAAATAGATGTGTTAATGTGGCTTCTTTTAAATGACAATATTTGCACAAAAGATTTTCTAGTTGAGAGGAGAATCATCAATTATGAGGAAGCTCTTTGTCCTTTATATTGTAAGGAGATTGAGACTATAAATCATCTCTTCTATCTTTGTCCTACATCATGATTTCTTTGAGGTAGACTTTTTAATTGGTTTGGGTGTGTAGGATGTTTGCCAAAAAATCTAAATCATAACATTCAGGAATGGTCTAGTCTCGTAAAAAGAAAATTTCAGTGTTAGGCAATTACTCTTCTCTATAAAGGATTATATTGGTCAATTTAGATAGCGCGCAACCATATAATCTTTGATTCCAAAACTCCACACCAGAATGTGATTCTTGACCTCATGTTTTATTGGTTGGCTTTTTGGTTGAAGTTCTCTGTTAAAAATTTCAGCTATATAGGCTTTATCTTTATAGAAATTCTGAATATATCATGAACTGGACAGGTTAGTTGGGGCTATAAATTCCTCGTTTTTTTTTGTTGTTTTAATACCCCTTATAATTTTTCTTATCTTGTAGCCCTCATCTTTTTAATGGAGATGCCTTATTTATAATATTCTTGATTATTATTAAAAAAAATTATTTTTGGTTAATATGTCCATCTATTCTTGTGTTTTAAGATTATCCTCTCATATATCATTTTAAAAGATATTCACTTCCATATACTCATATGTGCCCTTCTGCTAATTTTTTAAATGAAAACGCCCCACTAACAACCAAGAAATAAATAAATACTTAAAAAGCCCAGAGAAAACTTAAAAAAAAACGATATCCATAAACTTCTTCATAGAAATATTTTTACCATAAGAAAATAAGTTTTGCAGGATCCGAGATTGTTTTTCAAAATTTTAAGATTTTTATGAGTTATTTCAATTTTTTCAGGATGTTCCACGTTTTATGTTTCTATGTTTTTCAATTTTATTTTTTTCGGTGCTGCTTATTGGTTTTTCCATTTTGTGTGGTACTCGCGATGCATAGAAGTTTAATCAACTTTCAGAGGAGCTGGTTTTTTGAGCTCTGGGTGATTTTGTCGGTTGCGTCTTAGAGCTATGGACGTTGGGTCTCTAGTATTATTTCTCCTGCTCTAGTGATTTTGCTTCCTATACTCGTAAAGATTTGCTAAGGTGGGTCTTCGATATACTATACTGTTATTAGAAATAAAAACTATTTTAATATATACTTTAAAAAATACCATGCATTTCATTAACAAACACATTTTAACATCTTTTATGGTTTATTTATTAATTATATATGGCTTATAAAAAAGTATATGTATTCTGCAAGTTATTTTTTCTTAAATTTGATGGTTTGGTAAAGAAGTCTTATTTAAAAATAAATAAAATACATATATGAGAGAAAATATGAATATAGAAAGATATATAAGAACAAAAAATACCTGGAAAAAAAAAACATGGAATGCATAAGGATGTGTACATAAATGAGAGATTTTAGGAAAACATTCTGATGCAAGTATGCATAAGCAACTTTAACTTTATGAGGGTGTTAAATTACGCAATTTGGAATCGGTTTCCACGCCCAACAACGGTGCGAGAGGACAGGAAGCCTTCTTATTACGACATCCACTTAGGGCCACAAAAAGGCATTAAGATGGTGCTAGAAGGATTATCTATGGGAGATCCAAGCACCCAATAAATTTCCCCATTGGACAAGGAAAAGAGAGAGAAGAAAAGGCGTTGGGTACATTTTCAGTTGCACGGTGGTGTATATGTTCTGCATCTCGGCGATGATAATGACGACCATAAGATGCATTTTCTATGACTATATAGTCTCACTGGAAGAATTCCCAGAGGCCTTTCATGGGTTCGGGACATTACCTCGACACCAAAAAACTGGAAATGATGCAGAGGCCTAGGCTTGAACCAGCACAAGTGGAGAGCATCAATGGCAAGATTGCCGAACATAGTTCCATTTCCATTTCTTGGAGGTAAGGATTATAGGTTCAAATTGAAGGCACTTCGACTATAAAATTGTTTACCGTGGAAAACAAGTTGCTTTGTCACTTGTCCGAAATCCTCTCCGCGGGTGGCAATCAACAAGACATTTTGCGATTTTTATTTAAATAGTTTAATTTTTACTTGTATTTTGGAGATTAGACTACAGTATATTTAATTATCTCTATTATATATTCCTAAGTTATATATATTAATGACGTACATAAGAGATAGAGATGGTAATTATACCCAACTCTATAGTCTAAATACTCAATTTATTCGGATGTGGATGCCGGGAGTGTACCCTTCGACCCCATGGAGGTTGGCCTCGGAAGTTAGAAGGGCTCCGTCTCCATGGAGACGGATGTGGAAGATCCTCCACCTCAACAGACCTCCATTGCATCTCTAAGAAGAGATGGATTCCTTAAATGAGGAAGCTTTAATAGCTAACAAGTGAGCCACTCTGTTTGCTTGTCCTGATGACATGAATAAAAGAGATGTCTGCAAAGGAAAATTTCCAGCCAAAAATGTCATCAACGGGAAGGCCTACATGGTAGAAGGACTCTTTCCACTTTGAGATAGACCTTGTTATAATTTGCGAATGACATTCCACCTCGATGAAAGTAAAGCCAGTAAATATCCCGAGCTAATTGTAATTCAAAAGAAGTGCCTGAGCTTCTGCATCTACGACTCCTTTGTGACCCTTCACTCCAGAGTCATCTTTCCTTCGTATAGACGTCGAGGAGGACGCGTTCGGAACAGAAAAGAGATCACAAGCGGACTACCCAGCTGAACCCAAATCAGTCTCACACCTAAGGCCTAGCCCAACCATGAGACGATTGCTATCCTGAAGATTTATTGAGCGGCCAGGCCCAGAAATCACAGCCGAGAGTCCTTAAAATCTAAACTACAAATATCTTAGCTTAACATCTTGCCTGGGGAAAAATGAAGTTACATTTAAGAACAAAAAAATTGCAGAATCACCAAATATCATTTTGACTCAGTAGGTTTGAACAATGGTGAAAAGTCATCTTTAACCTCAATCTGTGTTGATATTACATTTCAAATGAAACTAGGGGTAGTTGCGGATTGTTGACCGGTTAGGAAGAAAAGAACTACGGAACATTGTGGTGTCTCTATTTTTTTATATAAAAAAATATCTTTTATGGTTTTTTTATTTAATTTTAAATTAATATTCATAATTATTTAAATTTATTTTTATAAACCTATTTCAATTTATAATAAATATCATTTTACTTATTGGTGGTTAATTTTACAAATGTTTATTTTAATTATTATATTATTAAATAAAAAAATATTAAAAAAAATGTTAAAAACTTAGATTATGAATTTGATGAATTAAAATACAAAACTCAAATCAAGATTAATATGTTATGTATATTAAAAAGATATCATTTTAAATATTATTTTAAAATTAAAATATATTTTTCATCAGTTATTTAAATTATTTTTGAACTTATTAAATTAATTAAATCATGTTAATATAATTTTTATAAGGGTTAATTTTAAATTAAGGCTTGATAAGGATTTATATTAATAAAAATTTTATGAGGATTAATTTTAAATTAAGGCTTGATAAGGATTAAGATAAAGATTAACCTGTTAAATCACTTTTAATAAATATAGTTTATTATTGTAGCTTTAATAATTTATTTTAGACTAAAAAAAACTTGGCTGAATCCATACCTTAAAATGAGAAACCTCCATATCTTACCACCATCACTTTAACTTCCTCGCAATCATGAGCATATATACAGTATACCTAAAAATGAGAAAACTCCATATCTTACCACCATCACTTCCTCGCAATCATGAGCATATATACAGGAAAGCAAAAATTTTCTATGGATGCAGCAAGATTTGGAGACAGATCAGAACTTTGAGAATTTCGCAATCGACTTACCCCGCAGCATATTCTCTCAAGACAAGCTCCACCTCTTTCACGACCCCGAGTCTTCCAAACCACTCAGCTAGTACTTCAGATGCTTCTTTGCCAATGGTGAGTTTGTCTCTCTCCAAACCTATTAGAAAGTCCAATGCCTGGATGAGCTTGTTCTCCTTTTCATATGCAGCCAACACCAGAGCTACACATCTATCACTAGGTTCAATGCCAGCCCTCCACATATTCTCGAATGTCGCGTGTGCATTTTGACTTTGACCTGCCATTCCATAAGCATTCAAGAGGACTGCACACGTTCTATCATCAGGAGGAATACCTGCAAGCTGAATTGCATCGAACACTCTTTGAGCTCCATCAGCATCACCAATAATGGAGTACGCTCTTAACAGTGCCTTGTAAACTTCACTTCCGGCACGGATTTCTTGAGCGTCCATTTCTCTAAGTATCATCTCCCCCTTTTCAGGCATTCCAGCTCTGATATAGGCCATGATCATCGAGCCATATGATCTCCTATCTAATGGTTGACCAAGAAGCTTTAGCTCTTCAAAAGTTTCTTCAGCGAGAGTAAGATTGCCAGCATTGCTGTACATGTGAATCATAGCAGTTAACGTTACCTGATCACTTACAAACCCTCTCTCCTCCATGGCTAAGCGAGTTCTTTCAGCTTCTTCAAGCTGGTTGTTCATCCCATAAAAATGAATTATTTTGGTATAGTCACGAACATTAGCCTCAAAAGATTCTTCTAGAAGGGCAATTTCTGCCACCTAATAAAGATGCAAAAGACCATGAGCTTATATCAAATTGCGAGTTTAGAAACTCCGCCTGCACGCAAAATAAGAACACTAGCATTCAAAAACAGAAAAGGTTTTGTACCTTGAATAAACTCGAACCATGTTAAGCACGAGAATGTTTTAATGCACAAATTATTTATACATCTCATTAAAAGAACATGTGCTTATCTTCCTGGATGTTGCTAAGAAAGCCATGGCATGTAACATGTTGTCAAGTAAATTCATCTCACTTCCTCAAACCTCTCTGAAACTTAGTCCATAAGTTTTTGTGGCTTTTCTGTAAAGGTAAGGGCTATTTACTGTGATGTCTTGGAAGGAGGAAAAGCTAAATGCCCTTAGTCAACAACTTCTTTTTAAAATGTCTTTATTTGCTGGTTGCTAGAACTACTTGCTGATAATTTCCTCATCACTGCCGAAGAGGATGGGAAGATTTTTTGTTATTTCAGTTGAATTTTTTTCAATATTGAACAGGATGTGAAGTGGTCTTATACATACCAGATAGGGAGGATGAAGCGGTCACCAGCAGAACTAAAAAAATAACCAAATGCTGAGTTTATTTACAACTATTGAAATATCTCTCAAAGTGAATATGAGCATGAATTTATATACCCTCAGGATTTGAACAAATATAACATCAGGAACTATGAGAATGATCGATACAACTCATGAAAGCTGCAGGATTGAATGATAGTAACAGAAAAAAATGAACTTCAAGAAAAATGAAGGCACATGAATAGGAAAGGATTAAACATCAGAAACCGTGACGGGACAAGCAAAAAGGAAGAGAAGTAAAAAAGTGGACATTAACGTGTCCTCTCCACCGTTTTCTTTTGATTAAACAACCCCGGCGATCGAACCTATCAGCAATAAGAGAACTTATATTCATATGTGGCGCATTAAGCAAGAAGCCAGGTGCCCTCGCTTGCATATTTCACAGCTGTTGATGAATGGGGCATTTATTTAACTTCATTGATAAATTTATGACAATATAAGACTGATATGTTTACCTTAAAAAAAAAAACACGTAACAGCACTCCTCCTCCATTTAAGCAATCCAAAAATCTAGCCATAAAATAAGAATCAAAGGTGTCTTGCGGACTGTGCTACATTCAATATATAAATGCTCCAGGTATTCATGTTTGCTTGTGCGTGGACGAACCACAGAAAAACAAACATAACAAACAAGCCAGCTCATTAAGTATTTACATAAAGTCCATCGTAGAATACTCAACTTTGCCAGACAACAAGCATTAACCTTAAAAATAACATTCATCATTCATGTTTCAAACTTCATTCCAAATTCTCCCTATACATCTTCCAATCAAACTTAAATAGTAATAATCAATGGACAAAGCAAGATTTAAGCAAGTGATAATCAATGAAGGCATTCAATTAGAGTGGAAAAAAGAGAATACCTCAAGATAAAGTGGATGTGCCATCTTGTTCAATTCCTTGAGAATAGAAAGCCAATCTTTTCTCCTTGGCTTCATAATCTTAACCCAAGCACTCAATAAATCAGGCAAACTACCTTTCTTGTCATTGAAACAAATTATCTGCCTCATGAGCGCTTTACATCTTTTGGTCATCTTAAATGGCAGTTGAGATATGGCCTGTTTTTGTTCTTCTGGTATATTAGGACCTATCTCAACCCACCTAAACTTAGGTTTCTCTTTTCCTATTTCTCCTTCCACTTTCTCTTCTACATTGATAGCAGCTAATACAGGCTGAATTTGGGACTTCCAAGAAGTTAAAGTCACAGGTTGTTGACATAATGAGTTGCCCAGAAAGTGAAGGTTACTGGTTTTTTTGGGTTCGGAGTATAGCGGGCAAGTTGGAGATGAAAACGGGAGAATGTTAATAACATAAGTGGCCATAGCCAAGTTCGGGCATAAAAAAAAAGACCCGATTGATCTTTTTGAGAGAAAAAAATTAGACGGGGTCTGTTGAATTGTGATTATGAGCAGATCTATGAAGAAATTCAGGCAGGCAGAAAAACTTCTTTGGATTTTCTAATTCCCCAGCCAGAGCCACAGCCAGCAGAAGGCAGAGGATGCCATTTCTTGAACTGTTGCCACTGAAAGTTTCTTTAAAAGTGAATTATCAAGCCCATTCTAGCTGTTCAAATTTGGGAAGCCTGCTTGCTGGGATGTTGGGCCTTTTCCCAGATCACGCCCATTCTCTCCGAGACCTTACCCGCTTTTTAATTATATGATCTTTTGCTTCTGTATACTCGTTATTTTTCTTTTTTATGCTAGGATTTTGGAAGATAGGTCGGATAATTTAAACTGTTTATTGCATTAACAGCAAACACATATCCAGAAGTATCATAAATTCGTGTTAATTATGAAATTTACATCTAAATTTGAATGAGAATTTATTTTAATTTTTTTTAAAAAAACTGCTACAATTATAATGTTTTATATGTCTATCTTTACTTTTAAAGGGCTCTCCAGAGGAATGATGAAGGACGGCGTTAGGAGTTTCCCTTTCTTCCTTTTCCAGTTTTTGGTCCGGGGATAGTGTTGTCCGACGCGTGACGATGAATTCTCGTGGAGGACAACGGCTCGTGATGCAGGCATTATCAGCGCCATTGGAACAGATAAGCCATCAAATTTTGGTAATTGCCTCGTTCCATTGCATTTGTTGATTCTTGTTGAGGCATGGCCAGGAAACAATCGGTGATCATGGAGGAGTTTTAAAAATAATCGCAATATTAAAAAAAAAGAAGAAGTTAAATAAATATAATAATTAAAACATGAACAAAAAAAAATTAAAAATACATAAAAAATCAAAAATCAAAATCAAAAAATAAATAAATCAGGCTCGACATCCAATCCATCAAGCAATGATTTGCACAAGAGCTTTTAAATAATTTTTTTAAGTTAATAGAACGAATTATATGTTATCTTCTCCAATCATTTAAAAAAAATATTGTTTGAGAATTTTTATATTCTAGTTATTTATTGTGATGGCTAGAAAAATAGATCTCAAATTCTTTTATAAATAAATTTATTTTCAATTTATGTTTTACCAAAAACAAAAACCTTATTAAGCTAATTAATAGCAATAAAAAAACAAAAAAAGCAGACATAAAATCTAAAATTAACTTGAAATTCAAAATCTTATTCGGCATGTATCTATTTTCTAGACATTTTCAATGTTAAAAGTACCTAGTCTCAACCCTCTATTATATATAATTATTTAATGTACAAATTAATTGTTTTGATGATTGCAATCATTGCAACAATTACTTTTTTTTATTAGAATTTGACTCTTCTTTCTCTCTATTCTCACAAAAAAAAAATTTAATATTAAAATTAATTTTTTTTTATAAAAACAAAAAAATTAATTATATGATAGTTAAAAGCTGTAAAGAACTAAAATGATCATCTATAATAAATTTTAAATTTAATATTTTTTTTAGTTGAGTATATTGTTTTTTAATTCAACTCTTTTGTATAAAAAACTCTTCCATGAATGTATAATCAAATATTAATTTGAACTAAAAAAATTAAATTATATAAAATAAAAATTAAAAAATCAACATAAATTTTTTTGAACCCGCAATATTATGCGAGGAGGTAAGTAATAATACTAAAAATTAATGTCTTTTGTTATATTGTATAATAATAATAATAATAATAATGTTTTCAATATATATAGCTTGAACTACGAGATCTTGATCAAGCTCAAATGTCGAGAACCAGAAGGAAAACACGTCGTAACAGCTGTATATATTGCCCGGGGGGCGGGCTTATTAAGGCCCGTAGGTTGGCCCTTTGATCGATTTCAAGAACTGGCTTTTCAACACTGAATTTTCCCAGATTTTTTACGCAAGTTTTTCGAATTTATAAGAGCAATTTATAAAAGTATTTCACACGTTTCCTTTTCCCTTCAATTACAGACCATCGATCACAGTATCAGTCATCAATTAAAGTCAGTGAAAAAAAAATCAAATCGCGACAAACTTTTGCAATGGTAAATCAAAATCCACTAACAATATATATATATATATATATATATATATATATATATATATATAAACCACAGTAATATTTTTAAGATTGTTAAAAAAACCTCGTGGTTTGTGGAAAAAAATAGAAAAAGAGTATTAAATATATTGCACAGCAAATACAAAATTCTGTATTGAATTGGAAAAGGAAAATGAATACAGAAAACATGGAACATCAAATAAAACGAAAAAAGTTAAATAAGAAACATAAATTTAAAAAAGTTATATTGGAAAAATATGAAATATACATGCATTAAATAAATGTATAATACTTATTTAAATAATTTAAGGATATCACGGTCTTTTAAAAATACTTAAAGATACGACAATCAATCAATTTTTTCTATAAAGTTCATGCTTTTATATATGAATTTATTAAATTCATTACCAGGTTAAAAAAATGTCAATAAAAATGACTAAAAAATTTAAAAATAAAGCGTATCATTAATAGCTTAAGCTTCCTTCTATTTCCACACCTAACATGTGATTTTACACCATTTATAGCTTATGCCAACAAAGAAATTAATTAAAGATAAAATCAAGAACAAAGAGACCAAAACCGGAGAAAATAAAAGTAGCATATCCAAAGCAGTATAAAAAATAAATTAACAAGTCACTTTTTATTTATTATAAAATGATGTTATTTTAAATAAAAAATAAAAATAAATTATTAAATCACTTGAACTTTTCCTTGTCAACTTGATTGACATACTACATTACATATAGATTTAATTAGACAGAATCTTAAAATAGTTTTTTTAATAAAAAAACAACACTGTGAAATTGCGTTTAATAAGTGCCTACTTGGATAGGCTATTCTACTAACTTTTAATGAAATTTTAATTATTTTTTTAATTATTTCAATATATTAATTCAAAAATAAAATTTTAAAATAAAATAAAATATTATTTAAATATATTTTTAAATAAAAAATATTTAAAAAGCTACCACTTTCGGACAGATCTAACATGCTTTAAAATTGCTTGGAAGCGAACCGTCCGGTCTATCATGAAAGAACAAAAAAAAAAGGTCATCACAATAAAGCACCCAAACTATAAATCTCGAAATCACCCACCCGTAATCCCCATTATCACCATCGACCTGTCATCAGCATCACGTTAAAGATCCCTAACCACCCTAGAGTACACTCTAATCCATAACAAAAGCCAAGGGCAATTCGGTCACACAATTTAAAACCATGGACTTTCCCGTAAGAGACAAGCTAAACCCAAAACGCGATCTAAATCTTAATTAACATCCCGGAGCTCCCCGCCCCCCTAGTGTCTCTCTTTGCTCCATTTCCCTCCTCTACGATTCACTCTCTCCTCTTCATGCCATCAAATCTAAACAAGCCAAACAATCCCTAACATTCCCTCTCCAGATCCAAGCTCCCCGAGTCACGATCTCACTCGCCTTCCTGACTCGGGAATGGCTTCCACGGAAGCTGATTCCCGGTTAAGCCAGGTAGTGTCTCCTGCTTTAGAAAAAATCATCAAAAACGCATCGTGGCGTAAACACTCGAAATTAGGACACGAATGCAAATCCGTCCTCGAAATTCTCACTTCACCAGAACCCCAAGAACAACCTCCTCCGACTTCCACTTCCGACGATTCCTCCCCCTCCGAATCCTCTCTACCTGCCCCACTCCACGATGGCGGGTCCCATGAATACTCCCTTGCCGAATCCGAAACAATCCTCAGCCCTCTGATCAACGCGTGCAACACTCAATTCCTCAAGATCGTCGATCCAGCCGTTGATTGCATCCAGAAATTGATCGCGCATGGGTACCTACGTGGCGAGGCGGACTCCACCGGAGGTACTGAAGCGAAATTGCTAGCTAAGATGATTGAATCTGTGTGTAAATGTTATGATTTAGGGGATGACGGTGTTGAATTGTTGGTTTTGAGAACCCTATTATCGGCTGTTACGTCTATTTCCTTAAGGATTCATGGAGATAGTTTGTTGCAAATAGTGAGGACTTGTTATGATATTTATCTAGGGAGTAAAAATGTGGTTAATCAAACAACGGCGAAAGCATCGTTGATTCAAATGTTAGTTATTGTGTTTAGGAGAATGGAGGCTGATTCTTCGACAGTTCCGATTCAGCCGATTGTTGTGGCTGAATTAATGGGACCAGTGGAGAAAACGGATGTGGATGGGTCAATGGCGGTGTTTGTTCAAGGTTTTATAACCAAAATTATGCAGGATATCGACGGGGTTTTAAATCCGGGGACACCAAGCAAGGCTTCAATGATGGGGGCACATGATGGGGCTTTTGAGACTACGACTAGTACAGTGGAGAGTACAAATCCGGCTGATTTGCTTGATTCGACAGATAAGGATATGTTGGATGCAAAGTATTGGGAGATTAGTATGTACAAGACGGCTTTGGAGGGGAGGAAAGGGGAGTTGGCGGATGGGGAAGGGGAAAGAGATGATGATTTGGAAGTGCAGATTGGGAATAAGTTGAGGAGAGATGCTTTTTTGGTGTTTCGAGCACTTTGCAAGTTGTCTATGAAAACACCACCAAAAGAGGCTCTGACTGATCCTCAGTTGATGAGAGGGAAGATTGTCGCATTGGAGTTATTGAAGATTTTGTTGGAGAATGCTGGTGCCGTGTTTAGGACTAGTGACAGGTACAACCTATTTTATGCTTTTATAGTGTATACATTCTTGCTGGATTTTGCATTTTGTTGTCCATTAATTTTTTTTTCACATTTATTTGAAATTAATTGTTATAAACTTGTTGATATATTTGATCACAGTGTTATGTAGAATGATAGATACATTTACACCATTTGGAAGCTCTTGAAGCATTTCTTCTATGTAGCCATATACAACTATTATTGAGCAGAAAACGGACCCATTTTAGTGGATGCATGTGCGTTCTAGTGGTTTTGGTTTATTGTGCTGATGATGAAGAGATGGAGCTACAATTGTTAGATAGTATATCAAATGTGGAGCTACAATTGTTAGATAGTATATCAAAGAGATGGAGCTACAATTTTTAGATAGTATATCCATGATAAAGAGTTTTCAAGTTAGATCTCAACTTTTG